ATAGACTGAATATTTTTTTATATAGGCTTAGTCCAGGAAAACTAAAACCCGACCTAGCTTGGCCCATTTACATCCCAATATTCAACCATTTCAACAAAAAAGAAAGAAAGAATGGTTTATGCAACCTACATGTAAGAGATGTGCATCCCATAATAAACATGATAATACTTAAAGCAAAATAGTGATCCAAAAAAACTAATATAGAATTATTGCATAGCATGTAACCACGAACTAGCTTGTAAAATTTGTATGAGGTTACTAAATTTTTTATAAAAAATATTTAATTAACCACTCTATTATAAGTTTAATTAAGTACATATATTTTAATCTTAAAAACTTGAAAAAAATTAAAAAAATTCTGTAAATATTAAAAAGATTGATAAAATGACTACAAGGAAAACTTTAAAAAGTTAAAATCAAATATTGTCTTATTCTTTTCAGTGATCTCTCCCTTCTTTTTCCATCATTTCGATGAAGAAATGGAAATGAAGGTGACAGCTGATAAGATATTTGTCCCACGTATGTAGGGATAGGGATGTGGTCTGGCACGTGGAAAAGCAAAGAAGCTCTCAATGTAGTGTAAGGATGGAAATAGGTTAGGTTAGATTAAGTTGTAATTTAAATAGATAAGGTTTATATAAAAAATATTGGATCTCTCTTGATCTGTTAGTCTGTATAGGTTTCAAATTACAAGTCTGGCCTAACTTATATTTAAAAAATAAAAGTTTTGACCTAGACCTGTTAGCCTGTTTAAGTCTATTAAATATTCAACAATTAAAAGAATAATTAAAATAATATTACTTTATTATTCAAAATTATTAAAATAATAATTTTATTTATTTTATTTAAAATAAATAATATGATATTGGTCGGCATGTAGGTTCATAGACCTGACATATACAAAAAAACCTATAGTTTATTTTTTAAATAAATTTTTTTAAAAGCCTAGGCCTATTCTATTTTATTATTTGTAATAGGCGAAGTCTGATCTAATATAAGCTTAAGCCGTAGATCCCTGCAAATCGGTCTAACCCATTTATACCCATACTTGCATGTATGTCTCTGTGTTTGCTTTAGGTTAGCAATCATATCATGGATCTTTTGATTTAATTTCACTGGTAGACGATAAAAATCAAATTCGTAATCCCATAATTAAGAAGATTCTGATACTATGTTAAAATAATTATTACACCTAAAAGCTCGAATTAATAAATAATAACCTTCAATCTTGCTTTTCGCTTCTCACTTTTTACAATAACTTGTCTATTAAGCATGAAATTTTAAACCAAATCTCACTCCCCCGAAAAACTGCTCACAACACACTAGCTATAATAAACGGATTAATTGACGATTTTAGCTGTTAAAAAAATTGCTTTACCAAAAAAAATATACAAACACAATAAAAAGTTGGCACAGAAACTAGTGAAGTTGGTTTATGAACAGTACACGATCATTTTTCGTGATCAACAGTACTTTGGAGATTAAGAAGTTTGTTTGGAGCTATTGTTAATTGTTTAATTTGAAGCAACTTTTAAGATAAATAAAACAAAATGTTCATAGAATCATTTTATTTTCAACTATAGTTTTTTTTATGAAAACAAAGCACAAATAATTTGTATATTATCATTAATAAAAAAAATAGTTATTCTGATTTGTTTCTCGATTTTGCAATATATTCGATTTGTCTATTGTTATAATTTTATTATACTAACAAGAACACATATTATTAGTTGTTTCTCACGTTTTCAATTAATTCACATAATAAATAAAAAAGACTAAAAGCAATGCATGACAATCTTTCCGGAATCAATTCTTTTTTAATTTTTGTTTCCGGGAACAGAAATAGATAGAAAACTCGTTTGGTAAAACTGATTTTTTTTTTTTCCGGGATAAACCGGTTTAATTTTTGTGCTGGGGAATAGAAAAATGAATCAAAAAATTTCTGCTTTTTTGTTCCCGAACACAAAATGAGAAACACTTATCTCTCTCAATCACTCTTCATCTCTACCATCATCACCACCACCACTATCACCATCATCCCTACACGACCACCGCCACCATTGTTGCTGCTGTTGTACCACTAGTGTCGTCGTCACCACCCCACACACCATGAAGCCACCGCCACCGCCACCACAACCTCCACCCATCACTACCACTATGCCACCGTCACCACCACCACAATCACAGTTACCATTGCCGCTGCCACCACCACCACCACTATCACCGTCACCATCACCACCACCACCACTACCGCTATCAACCACCACCACCACCATCATCGCAACTACTGTCGTCACCGCCAGCGCCAGCATCGCCATCACCACACCACTGCCACCACCGCCATCGCCACCACTGCCACCACTACCATCACCACCACTGCTACCAACTACCAACACCACCACCGCCACCAACTACCATTACCATTGCCGCAACCACTACCGTCACTCTGTCGCCGCCGCCACCAACCACCAACCACCACCACCAACCACTGTCACTACCACGACCATCGTCACCATTACACCACCCTTTCCACTACCATCACCACTATCACCTACCACCACCACCACCACCGCTGCAGCCACTCCCACCACCACCACCATGATGCCATCACAACCACCACCACCATGCCACCGCTATCATTTTCGCCGCCACCAACCACCATCCCCCCACCATTGTTGCAGCCATTGCCGTCACCTCCACCACCAGCATCCCCACCATTACTATGTCACCGCCACCATGCCACCCACCGCCACCACTACCACCACAACCACACCATATGGAGAGGAAAGTGATGATCCGAAATTTTTTTATATTTAATAGGAATTATTTTTTTATATTTTATTTGTTATGTTATCAAACACAATTTTCATTCTCGGAATAAAAATGGAACATGTTATCAAACACATTGCTTTTCTCAGAAACTGTTCCAAGACACAGAAATAGAAAAGAATTGTTTCTTTTCAGAAACAGTGCTAGGAAATAGAATGGTTGTCATGCACACCCTAAAACATAAAATTATTTTAGTATTTATATGTCGGTTTAATATTTCTCATGTTATAGGAGATAACACACACAAAAATATAAGACTCGTGTTTTTTCTTTCTTTTCTTCTCTTCACATAGGCCTTATCAATTTTTATATGTGTTTATCTTCTATAACATGAGAAATATTAAACTCACGGGAAAAATGTGTGTCCTTTTAAATGACACAAACTTAGGTCCTTTTAAGAGAGGGATAGACACAAAGAGGTGTAGGTCACACTGATAAAAATAAAGACAAAAAAATAAAATAAATGTGTGGGTACCACCCATGGTAGTTAAAATCCCGATTTAAATATATGATTTTACGATTTTTTTAATCAAAACGATTTCATCAAAATTTCAAACGCTTTTACGATTTTTTTTAGGTTAGTATTTTACGTTTTACGATTTTTTATCCTTTTTCCGATTTTAGGTAAAATTCTGATTTTAACTATCATGGTACCACCGCTTTGTATCTATCTCTCTTAAAAATATCTAAGTTTGTGTGCTTTAAAAGGACACACACTTTTCCTTAAACTCATATATATATATATATATATATATATATATATATATATATATATATATATATATATGGATAGGATATTATAACAATCAATTAGTGTTACTACCAATCAATTTTACCGTTAGATCGATTATGTTGATCTAATGGTTATATTTATTTTCATCTTTGTATGGTTATGATTCCACATATTTAATGTGAAAGCATTAAATATGAGAAATTATAACCATACAAAGGTGAAAATAAATATAAAGAATTAAATATGGGGAATCATAACCATACAAAGATGAAAATAAATATAATCGTTGTATCAACATAATCGATCTAACAGTGAAATTGATTGATAATAACATTGATAATAACAGTAATTGATTGTTACAATATCCTTCCTTTTATATATATATATATATATATAGTTAAAGTAAAGAGGATAGGTTTTAATAGTGGTAAATTGGTGTACAACTGCAAGTATTATTTTTACCCCACTCTTGTTAGTCTAATTTTTTTAAGTTTCTAAAAAAGAAAAAAAGAATTATTTTCAAAAATAATTCCAATTACACATATTCAAGTTGGAGTGCATTTTATGGACAATGAATGTAAATACTCCCTTACCAAAAAGCAAAAAAAATATAAGAGAAAGAGAATGAATTCTCTTATGTATCATTTAACATGACCATGTTATATTGAAACATCAAAACCATACAGAGTAATCAATAGTGATAAAAAAATAGAGAGAGAAAATATTTGGATATAAAGTTATAAAATCATTACTATTGTTCATTAAGGATTAAGATCCACTCACATGATAATATTAAATAACACGTAAGAAGATCCATTTCATAAAAGAAAATAACCGTAAAAATAATGTAAATAAATTGCTTTTTATCATATTTAATAAATAATTTACCCAACATTCAATAGGCTTTTTCACCCTTTTGCCCCTCATTAATTATTTAATAACCATTTTGCCCCTGATTGGAAACTATATACCAATCTGCCCCTCTTTAATTGATTAAATGGAATATTTAATCGATTAAATGGTCAAATGAAGATTTAGTCGATTAAATCTCCCTATTTAATCGACTAAATCTTCCTCTTTTGACCATTTATGGGAGATTTAGTCGATTAAATAGGGAGATTTAGTCGATTAAATAGGGAGATTTAATCGACTAAATCTTCAAGTCAACGATTTTTTGCTTATTTTGACCATTTAATCGATTAAATTTTTGGCTTAGTCGATTAAAGAGAGGCAGATTGGTAGATAGTTTCCAATCAGGGACAAAATGATTATTAAATAATTAATGAGGAGCAAAAAGATAAAAATGCCCTCAATACTTCCATATCACTAAAAAATATTTTCCTAAAGTTGGCACTGAAATTAGATTAAAGCTAAACCAACCACTCATGTCAAGTCTATAAGTGACTCACCACCAAAACACTAATCTTTCTATCTTTAGATATACCCATCTATCTGTCACATTCTTCATTCTCTCTGGTAGAATCCTGAGCAAGGTAAAGATTAGGCCAACAACATCTGTCTGCAGAGTGTGTGGGATGTTAGAGAGAGAAACTAAGAAGAGGATGGATTGTGGAGGTGATAGAGGTGGGCCATGTGGTGCCTGCAAGTTCCTAAGGAGAAAGTGCAAAAAGGGTTGCATATTTGCACCATATTTTGACTCAGCTCAAGGTGCTGCTAATTTTGCTGCAGTGCATAAGGTGTTTGGTGCTAGCAATGCCTCTAAGCTACTCATGTGCATCCCAGTTCACAAGCGTCTTGATGCTGTTGTTACTCTCTGCTATGAGGCTCTTGCTAGGGCCAGAGACCCTGTTTATGGCTCTGTTGGTCACATCTTTGCTCTTCAACAACAGGTTTGTCTCCAACTATCTTACTACTTCACTTCTTCATTTCATTACTGTGATCTCTTTGAGGTTAACTATTGGTAACTTGGGGCCTTGAAATGGGTAATCAGAAGGGTTTAATTTGTTTTCCTGCTTTGGAAATTTGGGTTTTGTTTCATTTCTGAGTGGAGATACCACCTTATATCACGTGCAAGTTTTTAAGACCATTTAGAATTTGAAAGATTAATGATCTAACAAAATAATACTAGTATGTCAGAAAGGTGAAAATATTTGCTGCAAACAAAGAACGTGCAAAATACTACTACTACCTTATATTTTATTTTGATACTTGCATTTATTTATTTATTTTTACTTTTGGGCTGACTAAAAACCATGTCAATGGATATATGTCTGACTGAATTTGAGGAATAATCATGGTAACTTCTTGTTTTTGAATCTTGAGTTTATATATTCTTTCCATATTTAAAATTTTGATATTTACTACCACTAAAGGGGAAATATCGACTTGCGAGTGTAGGAACGATGATCAATTGTAATCTCATCTATTATCTTCCAATCACAAGAAGTAATTTTACTATTTCTCTAAAGGTTCATCTTTCATAAGTGAAGGCCAAATTAAAGGCAAATTCTGATGTACAAAACTCCTCGATTTGTGAAAGTAAGAATGAAATCAATTGTATGCAGTTTTATCCTTATATTTTTACAAAGAAACAATGTTACCGCATTAGAAAAATTTAACAGAATTAAAGAAAAATTTATCAAAATTCAATTGTGGTTCTTAAACAACTCAAAGTTGATTGAGATCACTAATTCATTCAAATTTTTTCTTTAATTGGTATAAAACTCAAGAAAGAAGATAGCAATTAATTGCCAAATTTAAGGCACCAAGTTAAACACTGTACAATCTGTACTCTCTATACTATAGTAGTCGCTTGACAAATATCACTGTTTTACTTTGCACGTATGTAGGCCAAGACTTTATCATTATTTTATTGTTTCACATTAATTTTGAGATGTTATAGAATGTTCTGTTTGCTTTGACACTTTTGTCAGCTATATGGTTAGGTTTTATACGTAAGCCATACACTAAGGTAGTGTTTGGTTGGGGAGAAATTTTTGAATACTAGATAAATGTAATTACTGAGAAATGGTTGGAAAATGAGTTTGGTAGGAATGTTAAAAAAAAGTTGTTTGATTGGATATAATTTTACCGGGAAAGTTGAGTAAATTTTTTGAATGTGTGTTTGGTTGAAATTAAAATATTGATGGGTAAATTTAGTTAAATTACCAAATAACCCTTATTTGGAACAACCCTTTATTCAACAAGCTTATTCCACATCGTCTTTCCCTGTTTATGTTTGGCATCTCTGTCTCTCTCCCACTTTGTCACTGTCTCCGCGTGTGGTTCCAATTTGACCTCTACCATCTGATTGTGGTTCCAATAGGTGGCAAGATTGAGAAAACCCCAAGGTTAGAGATGACGTCGTTGTTCTGCACTTTTGTTTTTCCTTTTCCATTTCATTCGACTATTGTAATAGGTCCTCTGTAATTTGTGTTTGCGCATTATGTGCAAGCAACATTTGCTAGGTCAAATACCACTACTCTCTGTGTGGAGATATCAATTCGGGTTGATATAACACGAATCTTGTGTCGTGCATCAAGAATTGATACTCCTATATATGGGTGAGCTCACTTACCTGGAGATTCTCGAATTCCATGAGCTACCCAAACTCAACGCCCCAATCCAGCCCACCATCGCAAAGCTCACCAAACTCAAGTTCCTCACCTTAAAAAAGAGGGGTATATTTGTCATGTATTTTTAACCTTTTCACTTATCCGATACCCTCAACTAAAACCACCTGTTGAAATGGCTTCCCCAACAGTGTCGATATCTGATTTTTGCACTTGAGATTGCTTTGCAGGGGAAACGGCTTTGCTGGGGAAATTTTCCTCAAAGCTTCAACCAAACGTGGTTGAGTGAGATTCCCACATGCACTTACCCACCAAAATTTCAACTTCTCTCTAACTAAACACTACCTAAAGATGGCGTATCACCGTAGGCTCTTGTGATTTTAAGGTTAAGGCCCATGCATAATCAAACATACTGGTTCTAATTCATTTTTATAGAATAAATACATACCTACCCAAAGTTCTAGATGACTAGATTTACAATAAAATTTTGTGGAAATTTGGTTTCTCAATGAATAAATTTTGTGAAACTCATGTCAACCAGCAATTTCGTTTTATTATTATTATTAGAGAGAGATGTTGGCGGCAGCCAACTCAATGTGCCTGACTATGAAAGCCTCTTTTGCTTGCCAGAGTAAGCAAATTAAGATTGTTTGATCCTTAAACGATAAAAAATTGTTATAGGATTTGTAGCCTGGCGGTGGGAGTGACAACCGCGGGTGATGACAGATTACTTAACAAAAGGGAATGGTGATAATTCATAGGGAAGTAAATAGATTAGACTAAATTTTGATTTAAATAGATTAAATTTGTGTAAAATATTTCAAGCCTGGTTTGGTCCATTAGCTTTGTGTAGATATAAATTATAGGTCTGGTCTAACCTATATTTATAAAACAAAAGTCTTGACTTTGAACTGTTAACCTATTTAAGTCTATTAAGCATTCAATAGTTAAAAAAATAATTAAAATAATATTATTTTATTATTCAAAATTATTAAAATAATAATTTTATTTATTTTATTTAAAATAAATAATATGATATAAACTAATCTGTAGGCTTACAGGCCCGGCATGTAAAAGGAAGTCTATAATCTACTTTTTAAATAGGTTTTTCTAAAAGTCTGAGCCTATTCTATTTAACTATATATAATAGGCTAAATATGACCTAATATAGACTCAACTGTAGGCTCCTATTAGTTTTGATTTGAAGTGTTAATACATAACGTTTTCTGGCTAATAAGCTGCACTGACTAGGGAAATGACAAAATTCCAACATCCAAAACAACAATCACGCTGTTTTATTTACCATAACCAAGTAGAACATTATTATATATGTTAGATCTGAATATTTGTGTTACAGGTTGTGAACTTGCAAGCAGAGTTAGCATATGTTCATGCTCGTCTTTCCACATTGCATATCCTCTCTGTAGCACCTCCATTTCCACAGCCTCAAAGCTCTTCTCCCCCAAGTCTGCATTCCTCCTCATATCATCATTTGGCATAAAAAAATGACTAATTGCAAAGTGCCTAACTTATCAATGCAGGACTTTTGGTTGTTTTGTCTAACGAAAGTGTAATTTAGCATAATTTTGCTAAAGCTTTATGCTAATGGTATCTGATGGGTAAAGTTGAACTAGCTAAGTGGAATGTTTAACATGAAAAATATGTAACTGCAAGACCGATGGTCTTCAATCCTTTTGTCCTAAGAATATTTCTACATAGTTTCGCTAAATTGTAATTATTTAATTGAACCCCCCCTCCTCCTCTCATTTTGAAGCCCTAACTCACTGTTGTGCACTTGTGCTGCCGCTGCATCCCTCTTCTCTTCTGCTGAGTGCCCTTTCTCTGTGGCTGAACCTGAATCACCCTTCTCTTTATTTGGAACCGTGTTGGTCTGAATCCATCTTCTCTTCTGCTGCAGCCGTTTTGGCTAGTTTTTATCCTTTTCACCTCTGCTGCTGCTGTTTCGGCTGGTTCGCTGGTTCTTGGGCTCTACTGCGATTCTGCAGGTTCAGACTCTTCTGTTCTGTTGTTCTGTTCTGCTCCTATGGATTGCTGCTTTTATATACATCTGTGAATGTTTGAATATAATTTTGTATACTAGGTAGGATCTTATGATCACACGATTCACATATTTCCCTCCCCTTCCAATCCTAGGAAGGATCTCGATTTTGACTACCATGGTGGGGGGAACCAAATTGTAACCCATTTACAGTTACAAGACAACATCTGGAGGAAGGAGAAGACACTTAAATACAAAAAACCTCAAACATCAGAATTGGGAAATTCAAAAAAGTGGCCTGAAGGATAAAAGCACCAAAAACCTGCAATCTTCAACTTGATATAATAGCAATTGCTAAAAATAGTGCCAAGATGACATAAAATGTGGGGCAGAGATACAAGAGGATAAAGGGCATTGTTTCACCCGTACGGTAAAGCAATTGATAATCTTCGGACTCACATCAAACCAAAATCTAAATGATTTTTGCATATAAAAAAATGAACAATTATGTATAGCAATTGTCTAAGGAGTAAGATACATACATGCCATAAAGATTAAGTTCCGCATAGTGCAATATGGAATTAAATTACCAAAGGCTCCTCATACTAATACAAAAATCTCTAAAATTCCAAAAAAAATTACTGAAAATACATATATGTAATATATGAAGGACCAAACTACAAAATCTAAAGGCCGAACAAGGTTAACATAGTAGTATTCATAACAAAGTTATGTGCAAAGAAGCATACTTCATCATACTTTACACCTGAAAGCATGTGTGCGGCTCCAATCTTCTGTACCCATGAATGTACAATCCCACTTCTACAAGTCAGATAGGGTGAATATGAAAAATGAATTTCAAACACACTACGCTAGAATCTATTAACTTTGACGTTCAGGGCATGACAAGATCTCCCCATGATAGAATCCACCATCCCCACAGTCTGCAACAGCATCCAAACCACAAGGAGAATCATACCATTTAGGATTGTCTTGGTAGAAACTATCAACCTGTATACAGCCAAGACCTACATCTGCAACTATAGCCTCATCACGTCTGATGTGCTTTATTAGTTTAATGTCCTCATAATCAAGGATGTTATTCTCATCGAAGTCACTGCATTTCAACCACTTTTCAGGCTTACAAGTTTCACTTAACAGATCTTTCTGACTTCTACAATCTGCCCTCATCTGGTCCCAAGAAACTGCTTCTCCTAGAGTGAGGCCAAAACTGTCTTCGTCATCCTCAACCTCAATAAGCTCTGTGTCCTTGCCATCCCCAAAAATCTGTTCATGTTCATGAGTACTCCAATTTGCCAGATCATTATCCCCAACCAAGACATCATCTGCATGTGGCTCATCAGCTAGCAACCCAATTGGCTTTGAATTCACTTCCCCTATATTTCTGATTTTATTCATAATATCAAACAATTCTTGAGAAACAGAAACCAATAATTCACGCGAGATTTTCGAAACTTTCCCTTCCAACACCCCAACTTCAGCTCTCAATTCCTGCACCTGTTGCAAAATCAAAAACTGCAAATCTCCTTCATCCTTCCCCAACAACCCAAAACCTTCATTCTGCACATCCTCCCTCACCCCATACACCGTTTCTTGATCCATCATATAGCTGCCCTTGTGACCAACAACCCGATGCATAATCCTGGCATTACCATCCAACGGCCCAGGCTCATGCCCCGAATGCACCGCATACAACTTGAAAATCGCCACCCCCTCTTCTTCATATACAAAAGTCTTATCCTTCTCATTATAATCCTTTATGGGAACAATAGCCCTGATGCGAAATCCACACCCGCAGCGCTTCGACACATAGGGTTCCCTCTTCAAAACCTTAGATTTCTTGGTAGCAGCAGCAGCAGCAGCAGGCTCCCCTGCTCTATGACAAGCATAATCCTTCACCTCAGCCATAAAGGGCTTAAACCTTATATACTTCTGCCTAATGCAAAGCACAACCTTATGCTTTGCCGCCAACTGTTGAAGCCTCCTAGGAACATCCTTAGCAGGCACATCAAGAGACTCAGTATACTCAAACCTACGCCTCTTATTGCTCCTCCCGGCCGCGGAGGAGCAAACGGGGCACGCGGCAACACAAACCCTAATGTAACTCTCAGGGATGCCATAAAACTTAGCACCTACAGTCCAAACCTGCTTAATTCTCTCTACAGTTTCTCTCAACCCTAAGTGTTTCAAATCAGCATCAGTGTGAAAACTCATTACAATGTCTTGCCACTGGTTAACATGGGAAACAAATTGCTGAGAATTGTTCTTGAAGCAAAGAAAGTGATTACCATGTTGGTCCACGTGGGTGGTGAGTTTGTCCTGGATGCGCTTCCACGCAGTGAGATAGGCTGTGTCCTCATTCCGATCCTTCCAGACGGAGCGCCAAGAGGTGAGGATGGATGGCGGGGTGGCGGCGATGATGTCGGCGGTGGTGGGGAGGCCGCCGTGGAGGAGGGAGCGGAGCATCAGGGCATGTGAGTCCTTGTTGAAGGTGTAGAATTGGGATGAGATGTGGGGGTCAGGGGTTATGAATGGAGGTGAATGAGTGGTGGGAGAGGTGAGAGAGAAAGAGGGTGGTTCATGTTCATGGTGATGGTGGAGGAAGAGTTCTTCTTCTTCTTCTTCTTCTGTTTTGTTGTTGGGGTTCATGGAGGATGAAGTGAAGAAAGTGAGTGAGGAATGTAAAGTGATTTTGTGTGTGTGTGTGTGTCGTGTCTCTCTCGCACTCAAACTCAAATATTATATGAGTTAATGTTGTCGTTTTGTTTTGTCAGAGTTTCTCTGCCATTTGTCTTTGACATTTTGGAAGGTGGTAGGAAGGTGCTGTGCTTGTCTACTACTACTCAACACAACAAACCTCAACCTTTAGAAATCTCCCACTCTCTCATTTTTTCCCCCACTGTTTTGGAAATGGATTCTCGTGTTAAAATTTTGGGAGCTTTTAGTAGAGGAAAAAAAAAAAATTATTCAAAAAATTTAATTTTCAAAAATATGATTTTTACATTTAATTTATGATAATATCCAAAATTTTAAAATTTAAAAATATTCAGTTTCCCGAAAATTTCAAAAAAAACCTCGTACCAAACACCCCCTTCGTATGTATTAAATATGACTAAAGAGATAGATATGGAAATTTTACATGACAAATTATATGATTGTCATGTCAAATTTTAATATAAGATAATTCACTTTTTTTTTTTTCTTTTAGAAAAGAAGGGACTTTGTTGGAAGAAATTGAAGGTAAGAAATGTTTACCTCGTGGGCAATAGTTAACTTCTCTAAGGTTCGATCACTTTGGTTGAATTCTTAATATTATAGTTTGATTGATTAGCTAAGTATGGTTGTGTCACTTATTTATGTTTATATGGAAGACGGTCGATTGTTTATGTTCGTAAAAGACATCATTTGCTCATAAGTTATAACAATGTTATCAAACTCGACTTGAATCGGCCGGGTCGACACAAACTTAGTGAACTGGTCAGCTATTTGATTCGAGTTAGACAATTTTTTATCAAAATCAGTGACATAGTCAGTTAAAAAAAAAACTGACAGGTTATGCATTTAAAAAGAAAAAATCTGTGGGCACTTTTATTTGCTAGTAGTACTCCTCCCTAAAGTCCAAATCCATTTTAGTTTGTTTGTTTTCTCTCGATAGTGGTAAGAGTTAACGTTCTAGATTTGTGATAGATGTTAAATATTTAAAGACAGAATATCCTTGTTAATTTGTTGGACAATTGCATGTGATTTTTTATTTTTCATATTAGAATATTTGGAATTGATATCATTTTTTTACATATATTTGAGTATATTTATGAATTTTTAAGTATAAAATATAGATTTATATATACTTATTCGAGTCAACCGGTTCAACCAATGACTCACCGATTAAATCTTACCCAACACTCTGGCCAGGTCAGGTTTAATAACATTGATACATAGTTTGAAAAAAGTGGAATTCAGACAGTGCTAGAAAAAAGACCAAGCCAGTGCCAAAAAATCTAACTAGTAAAATTCAGCTAGTACCAATATTATATTATTTTTAAAAATCTAACAAATACCAAGATTATACCATAATTTTTGAAAAAAATATATAACATTTTTAAAAATTAATTGGTGCCAAGACACCTAGTAAGAACCAAGTGGCTCCGCCACTCGATTCAAATGATATTAACTATATTTTATGCATAAACCATGGGGAATATTTTGGTCTTAAACCATTAGTATTGGTCTAGCGGCGGAGGATTTGGGTAGTTGCATGAGTCCATAGGTTTATATTTTAATGTCACTATTGTATAAAGAAAATAAAAAAATTGTCCAAAATATGTAATTATGTAAAAAAATAAAAAATGATAAAAAATAATTTGTTGTTGATCTCGAACCAGATTAATAAGTGATGAACTGAGTCTTCGATATTAAATGAATAAAAAATATTTTCATTCGTTATCTACATATATGTCCATTTGTCTTTCAAAATTCAATTTAATTTCCTCTTTTAAAATTTGGTACTTCTTATTATTTCATATGTATCGAAGGTGTTTAGTTTTTTTTTTAAAAATAAAAATAGATGGCTTATTTTTAACTTAAAAATTATTTAAAATATAAAGTTAAAAATAAAAATAAAAATTAAAAAAAAAAATTGAAGAAATTGAAGGTAGGATTGGCCTTGGGGGCAACAGTTAACTTCTATAAGGTGGTGTTTGGTTGGGAGCTTTTCAGCGGATATCTATCTTTCTCAAGTATGACTTTTAGAAACACCATGTTTGTTTCAACGTTTTTCACCAAAAACCCATCTATCCAATTTGTCTGGATTTATGAGAAACATAGATATCCGCACTGTTTAGAAACCCAATTTGAAGGTGAGATTTTTCAGAAAACCGATTATCTTGCTTTTAATGCACTGTTGATTTCATAAAGCTACCTAATTTTCCCAGTAAAGTTTTTCTCCACCAAACAACTTTTTTTTTTACATTTTTCTACTTATCTCACTTTATCTATCTTTCCAATCATTTCTCTATCTATCTCATTTCCCTACTATTCTAAAAAAATTTCCTAAACCAAACGACCGCGATCACTTTGATTGAATAGTTAATTATGATTGTGCCGCTTATTTATGTTTATAAGGAAGATATCATGTTTACTGGGAAGAATAGACTCGTTACCTACAAACACGTTCAATTTCCTTTAAAAAACTCTGCATTAGGTTTTGGGAAATATTTTTCTTATTTCGTTGGAAATAGTTCTCTCATGTTATACACTCATCAAATTTTATGTCAGTTTTTTTTTTTTTTCTTTTGTTTTAAAGTGTGGACTTCACATATTTATCTCACACACATAAAAGAACTATCTCAAGCAACATGAAATTAGTAACTCCCTTAGGTTTAATATAATAACGGGGTGTTTTGGTTTGGAAAATAAAAAAGACGCATATAATGAAATAATTGTGAGCACCTAAAAGAATTAGGAAATGTTGAGATGTTGTTGACATGAAAGAGTCATATCTTACAGCATTCTGTTCAATATATCATAATATTTCATTTTGTCGTTATATGTAACATACTAAAAAAATGTTTATATACATCCATTTTAAGACAACTGATTAATTAGGAGAACAGTTTAGTCCCGATTGAGTTAAGTCCTGACCTGACTGAGTTAAGCCCATTCTGATTTGGTCCACATCTATGGGGATCTATGCGGAGCTTGGTGAGTCTGTGTAAAATAAAATAAATAATAATAATAATAAAATATTAATAATCATATATAGAGAGAGATAAAATATTATTACTATTAATTAGTGTTATTACTAATGTCACTATCAATTTATTTTATCGTTAAATCAATTATATTGATGCATTAAAATGAGCCTAATCCCTTTTATGATATGGTATAGCACAACAATTTTTACCACTAACTTGAAAGTGCATTGCCTACCAATTGAACTCGTGACTTTTAGCCGCAAGGTTTTCCTTGAGTACAATCTTACCTAGAGTGTCACACTTTGGGATTAATAATGTATTTCAAATTGAGCAATTAACCCTTGGAAACAATAAAATCACTTTATGTTATAAAAAAAAAATAAAAAAAAAATAAAATCACTTTACAACGTCAAGTAATATAATTAATTGAAAATTGTCATAAGGGCATGTTTGGTGCATAGTATAGGATAATGCCTCATAGTATAAGACCTGATTGAATTTTAATAATATCCAGCATTTGGCACGGTATTGTATAAAATAATATATTGTATAAGATAATATCATCTAGTATTTAGTAATGCACTATATAATACTATATAGGATAAAAATATCCTTTAATAAAAAATTTATATAATTCTTCAAAAAATGTCATATGATATTGATTTTTATAAAAATTTATTTATCAGTGTGTCCAAAATAAATTATATAAAAATAAAAATTTTCAATAATATATTAATATTAAAATAATATATTAATTTTTGAGAATTGCACTGGTAAACGATGTTAATACACTAATCTCTTATCAGGCCTTATCCCTTCCTCTTAGGCCAGATTAAGTTATACATCATTTTGATGTATTAAGGGATTCTGCTGTATAAGCTTATACTATACGATGGTCACACCAAACAACTGAAAATGTCATAACGTATAGTATAAGCTTATACTATATATCATGCCTTATATGTCACACCAAACAGGCCCTAAATGTCTATGTGCTTTGTATATCTGTAAATAAATAGTTGGAATTATGCAAGTTCAAACATCACTTTAATTTTTACTATGATTATTTTTAATTTAAATTATTATCTTACTATCCAATGACTTTTTCTTTTTTTTAGTACATAACTATCCAATGACTTTATGAATAAAAGGATGAAGTGTTTGATACTGAAATATTTTTAAGGGATGAGATAACATAAAATGGAATTGGACAGGTTGTTTAATTATTTTTAAATATTTACATTGATTTTCACAATAGTTAAAAAATGGCTTGGAAACATATAGTATAAATTTTGTAATATGAATATGATATGAATGAAACGCGAAGACTAGAGGAAGACAAATGAGAAGGAAATGAATGCAGCTGCTACTAGTCTTGCTGAAGGCAGAGCAAGAAGAGAAATAAGAAGGCCCAAAAGGTTCACATGTGACTAAGTGTATTCGGTGGGGGTAAGCTAGTAATTGCTAGGAAAGGTAGTTAGGGGAGTACACATGTAGTCATAACAGACTACCAGAAATAAGAGATGTATAAATCAGATTGGTGTAACCCAGATGGGTATTGAATCATATTGTCTTGAATAAACTCTCTTTTTCTCATCTCTGATTCTCGAATTCTCTTTCTTCTTCCTTTCTTCTTTAACTGTGCAAGAGATAGGTTTTCCCTATCAATTGGCGCTTTCATCGAGCTGAACATGGCCCCTAAAACTAGAACCCGCACATTCGATGACAGATTGAACCACACACAAGCTTAAATCGAGGTTTTGAAGGAGCAAATGACAAAAAAAATTCAGGAAATTGCATGCAAGCTTGATGCCATCTTTGATAATCATCGAGATTACACAGCAACATCAGGTACGACATCCAATCACATTTCCCTGAAATATAATCACGCAGCCCGTAATGTTCGTCTCAAAGTTCCCAAGTTTGATGGTTCCTGCGATCCACAAGGTTAGATCTTCAAAATCGAACAATTCTTCGAATTTTACAACATAGACGAAGATCAGAAGCTTCGTATTGCTCCAATTTATTTTGATTGCAAGGCTCTGGCTTGGTACCAATGGGTACGCAAGAACACCACTGTTGCATCCTGGGATTCCTTTCTTCAAGCGCTACAGGTGCGTTTTGGCCCATCCGAATT